CCCCTTTTTTCTCCCCCTCATCCCTTTGAAGTGACTTCAAAGAAGTGTTTCCCATATGTGTCTATACATGCCGGAAAGCCATCAGGGCCTGACAGCATCGCCTGGGTCTTGGAGAAAGCCTTTTCAATAGCCCCACGGCCATTACGAAGCATCTCTTCAAACGCTCGTTCCTCGTTGGCAACTATCGCTCGCATTTGCTGGAGCCCTGCAGCCTCAGACCATCCTGGCACTGCAATCGAAGCTAGAATGCCGTCTGAACCACTTCGAACGCCAAGTTGCTGAGCATGGCGGATGGCTCGCCGGATGATACGACGAAGAACGTAGCCGCGGCCTATGTTGGACGGGAAAACACCGTCCTGTAACAATGCGTAGGTCGCACGAAGGTGGTCACTGACGATGCGGAGAGTTTTGGATCTCTTTACCAGTCCCGAAAAGATTCTTACGGGGATCAAGTTCTTCTTGTAGAGCGCTAGTGAAAGATTGACGTAAGGTTGACGACCGGTTGGCGTCCAGTACAGTAGCTACCTCAGTTAAAAGAGGTACGAAGACGTCTGTGTGGTAGTTAGAAGGGACTCCTTGCAGAACAGAAGCCACGCGCTCAAGACCCATACCGGTGTCGACTGAGCAGTTGGGAAGTGCGTGTAGTTCGCTGTCTCCTTCGTTACGGAAGAATTGCATGAAGACGAGGTTCCACAGCTCCAAGAAGCGCTCGTCGGGGTCAGCGATGTGGTCTCCTAAGTCCCAGAACACTTCCGAGCACGGGCCACAAGGACCTGAGTCGCCCATGGCCCAGAAATTATCGTGTTCGTCCAGCTCCTGAATTTTGTGGTCGGGTAGTCCAGCGATCTGCTTCCACAGACGACGAGCCTCTTGATCGCTCTTAAGTACCGTAACGTGTAGTCTGTCAATAGGAAGCTCTAATTCCTGGGTGAGGAATCGCCAGCACATTGTAATTGCCTGTTTCTTGAAGTAGTCGCCGAAGCTAAAATTGCCCAGCATTTCGAACATGGTATGGTGGCGACGTGTAAGTCCCACCTGGTCCAAATCGTTGTGCTTACCACCAGCACGTACACAGCGTTGTGCTGAAGTAGCTCTGGAGTATCCGCGTGCCTTTGCTCCACCATCAATACCCAGGAACGCCTGTTTGAATGGCACCATGCCGGCGTTCACAAACAGCAGAGACTGGTCACCTCCGGGCGGCACTAGTGACGCGCTGGGCACGATGCGGTGGCCTTGACTCTCGAAGAACTGTAGGAAGCGGCTGCGCAGCTCTGTGGACGGCAGCGAGTGCACGTTGCGGACCGCGGAGCTCCGCCGGACGCCCGCACTCCCGCGAAGACGCAGCATCCGTCTCGTCCTCACGATTTATTTTTTTGACTCGCATAAAAGTTAAGTTCTATAATTAAGTCAATTCGATAGGATTGCTGATCAATCACCGTTTTTATTTGGACGACCTTAGCGTCCAGGTTTCCCAGATTGAAAAAATACTCAGAAATCTGATTCTCCATGGATAGTCCAGCTAGGGAGCCAGGTTTCGCCCAGGTTTCCTTTTAGAGAACGGAATCAGACTTGGTAATTTACATTCGGGAACTTAAATGACCAAATCAGGTATTTTCCAGGTATAAAACCTGGGATACTCATGTGTGCACGACTTAGGCTAAAGTGGAAATGATCGTAGGCAGTCGACGTCGGAACTCACCGCAACCAATCGTTTTCTTCACCGTTTACCCAGGTATTTTACAGGTTTTAAAACCTGGGCAAATCATGTGTGCGCTACTTAGAAAAATTCTAGAGTGATGGCCGCTGCGGTGTGTCGGCGTTCACGCTCATGGTGGCGTACCACGAATGTACCATTATCGACTTCTGCCACATACAGTCATTGTCCAGGTTTTGCCCAAGAATTGACCATGTATTAAAATCGTTAGTGTTTACATGCATGTTGCACTGACGGATATGCACGAATAACTAGCGCGGCCTCAACTTCATGACTGCGTGCAGCATCTCCCACCTCAGCTTCGTAATACCAGCTGGGGACACATCGCTGGGGGATTCGCTGCTCACGCAAGTCCAGAAAAACCGGCACACAAACACACCGCAACTGTCACTGTCCGTTTGCACCGGCTCGGTTACTTCCAAAGCTTTGTAGGAATCGTCACGTAGAGGCCCAGTACGGATTTCTTCAGCCATCTTCTCCAACCGTTTCTTGTTTCTCTTACCGCCCATGCTGTCGTACATCTTGACAACCTTGGTGTCTCGGTCAACCACGAGGCATCCCCAATGCGTGCCACCAAAATTGATAGGAAGAAGCACGAATTGGTGCGAGGCAACACTTTCACCAACTTTGTCGAGCGTGCTTGTAGAGATACGACTTTTGGTGGCCTTTGGTTGGGTTCCATTCTTGGCATCTTTGGCTTTTTGGGGGGGCGGAATGACGACTGTACAATTGTTCTTGTACCGTGCGAGACAAACCGCAAAAGCACGCATGGCATTATCGTTTAGCCAAGCGGAATCTCGAAAGCAAAAGAGATTGGTGTACGTCAGGTCGAATCCGAACCCAACCAGCGGTGTATACGGCCAACACTCCAGTATCTTTCCCATTATAATACCCGCTGAAGCGGAGTCACTGACCGCGAGTTTAACAGTACTATTCAACCAGGTACAGCAAAGAACAGCATTGCGACAAGTATCTTGTAGCCCCCACAAGGATTTCATAGCTTCCAGCTGCTCTCTGGTGAGCTGACCAGCTTTTTCAATTGACACCACGTAACTCTCAATGCTGCCCATTCGTTCACCGTCACTGTCCAACTCAATTTCTTCATCTAGCGCCAATCCGCCCCTCAACTTATCCGACGCATCATCAACAAGCGATTCGACTAGCCGGAATCGCACTCGATCTGGCACGTAATCTCCGTCGACGCGCCACTGAATTGACCTTCCCTCACCATTCTTGTTGACTGGAAAGGTAGTAAGGAAAGACCCAACTTCGCGAACTCCAGGCATGATCATCCATAGAGTAGACACCACATCGCAGACGTCGTTATCTCTTAAAAGAGCGCGTAGTTTCATCCCGTTATTGTACTCTTTTAGTCACAGGTAACATCACGAGGCTCCAGCTGGCGGTCGGACGCCATGATGAGCTGCTCTAGTACTCGCCAATACGTTTCTTGGCTTTTCGAATTGACGAGTACGTAGAGTAGTGGCACGTATACGTCGACACTAGGATCGTAGACCATAGCAATCAGGCACTGCGAGAAACCTTTTGGTACCACCGAAAAGGTACCATCAATAAAAAGGGTCAGCTGAGGGTACCGTAGAATCCGCAGTAAGTCCGGATGCCCAAAGCAGAGCATACGCTGTATGCCGGCGGTGGTGGGGCGAGCCATGCTGAATTGTAGGAACGGGCGCGGGTCTGAGTCGCTAATGCTTCGCACCGGTGCAGCCTCGATTGCACGGAAAATGTCGCCACCGGTGGCACCTTGGCGTACGTTTTTGATGATCGTAACACCACTCGGACGCGCAATACCGTAGATAGTTGACGGGTGATGCTTGGTACGGAAACTATCAAAGACGCGCTGCCACAGAACACCAGGTGCAACAGCGAAGTCTTTAATGGCGCGATCTTGCAGCTCCAAAGACATGTCGTGGCGTACGTCTGCGACTTCTTCTAAAATTTCTTGGTCGCAGCGGTGAATATTTTTTCGATGATAGTGCCCCCCTTCTTGACTACAAGACGTGCTGGACACCCAGTCCGGAACTTCACGCAGCTGAAATAGGTTGTTCCTGTCTCCGGGACGGTGCGCTTCTTGCAGAAGCGGTAGTTCTTGTGCTCCATGGACAAAGTTGTCAAGTGACAATAAAAATTAAAACAGCTATGTGTTTCTGCATGATTGGTTCCCGTTAACTTTTAAATACCTCAATCCCAAGTTTGACTCAAAATAGGTTTTATGATATGTCCTAAATTTCCGACTAAAATACCGGTTTTTAATTTTGGACAGCATAAGGATTGCAATATTTTCCCGGATTTAGAACCTTTTTAGGATACATTTTGCAATCTATGCCAGTAATTTACGACGTATTTTAGGATTTTGTAGGACAGTTAGGACAGGATTAGTACAGAAAATTCGACACCGACAACAACCGCAAGGTTTTCAACTGGAAGGTATCAATTTGGAGATCGAACGTGGGGATCTAGTGATGGTGGTCGGTAGAGTTGCAGCTGGTAAGTCCAGTCTCGTCAACGCCATTCTAGGAGAAATGCCACGAATCTCTGGTGTACTCGAGGTCGAAGGGCGAGTAGCTTGTGTCAGTCAAGACACCTGGATCCGCAACGCAACTCTGCGTGACAACATTCTCTTCGAACAAGAATACGACTCTGAACGCTATGCACAGGTCCTGGAGGCATCACAGCTGTCAATGGACTTGAGCGCTCTACCCAACGTAGACGCGACGGAGATTGGTGAGCGTGGCATCAACTTGAGTGGTGGTCAGAAGGCTCAAGTGGCTATCGCTCGTGCGATGTACCGGGCAGGGACGGACGTATTGATTCTGGATGATCCGTTGAGTGCTGTGGACCCGCACGTAGCTCACGCGATTTTCAACAAATGTATCGTCGGTATGGCACGTGACCAGACTCGGTTGTTGGTGCTGAATAGCCACTACGACTTGTTACCGAAAGCTGATCATGTTGTGGTGATGCGTGATGGTGTGGTGGCTTATCAGGGCCCCTATCACGATGTTTTGGTGCAGTTCCCGCAGCTTACAATGGACTTGGTTAGTATCAGCGTCGATAGCAATAACAAGGAGCTGGCCAGCGCCCCAGAATGCATCAAGACACTGTCGCCAAGCGAAGATAAGCCCGTAGAAAGCAACCCACAGAACCAACTGTGGCTACGAGATAGAGCGTGACGACGAAAATAATGAGAACTGACAGCAAGTCAAGCCGAGTGGCTAACCAGCGACTGGCAGCCCAGTACGTGAAGTACATGTTTGAGTTGGCATCAACTACACGTCGGTTCAACTCGATGAAGTTGTCTCTCATGCAGAAGGCGCGAATCGTAGCGAGACCGGATAAAGTCTCGCTAAAGAGATTGTACACGGGCGTTCGGGTGACGCCTTCCAGTCGCTTGATCTCACTCGATGTCTTCTTGAAGTACTGTCCGATGAAAAGAAACATAGCGAAGATCGGGATGTACGTCAAGGCAATCCAGTACGAAGCCAATGCCGAGACGGCGAGCGCTCCGAAGGCCAAAGACACATTCTGGAGCAGTAGTTGGTACTCTTGGGGAAGCATAGTATCCATTTGATCCAAGTCGTTCGAGAAGCGGTTCAGGATCTGACCCATTGGAGTCACGTCAAAGTATTGCGTCACTGGAGCCTTCAAAACGCGTCGGAACAGCTCGTCGTGCATATTTTGCGACGAGCGAACACACGACTCGATAATCGTCAGCGCTCGGCCGAAGGAGAGCACAGAACAGAGTGCGAGAAACCCGAGATACCACATGCCGAATGTAGTATTTGAGTACGTTGGGTCCACACCCCGGCGTGGCATGTTTCGCGCCCAATGACCAGGCCACCAGTCGACAACCGTGCGTGCTGCTTGACCTGCAATGTAAGCGACGACGATGACGACGATGACGACGATACCGTTAAACCCCGTCTCGTCGAAGTACGTCTTGTACACGCGGCCACTCACTTTGCCCTTCACACGATCCTCAGCACGGATAAGCCGCCCAGACGCCTTTTTGTCCTTCTCATCGGTCTCTAGACTTGCGACTGGACTCGTTAACGTCTGGACTCTCGCTCACATATTCGCTGATGTTGACATCGATGGTGCAGTGGGTCATGCGCTCGGTGGATCGAACCGACAACGCAATGACACGTGTGGAGCGCCTATTGTTCTTTCGTCAGATTGAGGGCGAGACTGACACGGGCAAAACGATTGAAGAGCTGCTCACGGACGAGAAACAGGTGACAGGAGCAGCCCCTCGGTCGTGGCCGTCACGCGGTTCGATTCGATTCGACCAGCTGTGTCTTCGGTACCGACCTGAACTCCCGCTTGTCCTTAAAGGTGTTGACATGGACGTCGCTGCCGGTGAGAAGGTCGGTATCTGTGGACGTACCGGTGCTGGGAAGTCTTCACTTATGGTCGCGTTGTTCCGTATCTGCGACTTCGACAGCGGACGTGTGTTCATCGACGACGTTGATATCGCTACTATCAACCTGCGTGAACTTCGACGAAGCCTCGCTATCATTCCTCAGGACCCTGTGCTCTTCAGTGGACCGCTTCGTGAAAACCTCGACCCATTCCACGAATACTCGGACGAGCGTATCTGGAACGTACTCAAGCAGGTTCACATGGCTGACAGTCTGCGTCGCTGGGGTGCGGGTCTGGACTTTGAGGTGGCTGAAGGTGGAGACAACCTGTCGGTGGGTCAACGTCAACTCATCTGTATCGGTCGTGCACTGCTCAAGGACAGTAAAGTGGTGGTGCTGGACGAGGCCACAGCCAATGTGGATACAGTCACGGACGCACTCATCCAGACGACCATCAAGGAGACCTTTGAGGACAAGACGGTGCTGATCATCGCACACCGAATCAACACGATCATGCACTGCGACAAGATCGCCGTGATGGACGCAGGTCGCGTGGTGGAGTTTGATTCTCCGTCGTTTTTGTTGGCTCAGCCTCACTCAGTGTTTGCAGCGTTGGCAAAGAAATCTGGCACAGCTTAAATAAAGCTACGTCCAGCTGTCGCAATTTAGTAGCCTTAAAAGCGGCTTCTTATGCGCTAATTAAAAAAAGGACGACCTTAGCGTCCAGGTTTCCCAGATTGAAAAAATACTCAGAAATCTGATTCTCCATGGATAGTCCAGCTAGGGAGCCAGGTTTCGCCCAGGTTTCCTTTTAGAGAACGGAATCAGACTTGGTAATTTACATTCGGGAACTTAAATGACCAAATCAGGTATTTTCCAGGTTTAAAACCTGGGATACTCATGTGTGCACGACTTAGGCTAAAGTGGAAATGATCGTAGGCAGTCGACGTCGGAACTCACCGCAACCAATCGTTTTCTTCACCGTTTACCCAGGTATTTTACAGGTTTTAAAACCTGGGCAAATCATGTGTGCGCTACTTAGAAAAATTCTAGAGTGATGGCCGCTGCGGTGTGTCGGCGTTCACGCTCATGGTGGCGTACCACGAATGTACCATTATCGACTTCTGCCACATACAGTCATTGTCCAGGTTTTGCCCAAGAATTGACCATGTATTAAAATCGTTAGTGTTTACATGCATGCACTGACGGATATGCACGAATAACTAGCGCGGCCTCAACTTCATGACTGCGTGCAGCATCTCCCACCTCAGCTTCGTAATACCAGCTGGGGACACATCGCTGGGGGATTCGCTGCTCACGCAAGTTCAGAAAAACCGGCACACAAACACACCGCAACTGTCACTGTCCGTTTGCACCGGCTCGGTTACTTCCAAAGCTTTGTAGGAATCGTCACGTAGAGGCCCAGTACGGATTTCTTCAGCCATCTTCTCCAACCGTTTCTTGTTTCTCTTACCGCCCATGCTGTCGTACATCTTGACAACCTTGGTGTCTCGGTCAACCACGAGGCATCCCCAATGCGTGCCACCAAAATTGATAGGAAGAAGCACGAATTGGTGCGAGGCAACACTTTCACCAACTTTGTCGAGCGTGCTTGTAGAGATACGACTTTTGGTGGCCTTTGGTTGGGTTCCATTCTTGGCATCTTTGGCTTTTTGGGGGGGCGGAATGACGACTGTACAATTGTTCTTGTACCGTGCGAGACAAACCGCAAAAGCACGCATGGCATTATCGTTTAGCCAAGCGGAATCTCGAAAGCAAAAGAGATTGGTGTACGTCAGGTCGAATCCGAACCCAACCAGCGGTGTATACGGCCAACACTCCAGTATCTTTTCCATTATAATACCCGCTGAAGCGGAGTCACTGACCGCGGGTTTAACAGTACTATTCAACCAGGTACAGCAAAGAACAGCATTGCGACAAGTATCTTGTAGCCCCCACAAGGATTTCATAGCTTCCAGTTGCTCTCTGGTGAGCTGACCAGCTTTTTCAATTGACACCACGTAACTCTCAATGCTGCCCATTCGTTCACCGTCACTGTCCAACTCAATTTCTTCATCTAGCGCCAATCCGCCCCTCAACTTATCCGACGCATCATCAACAAGCGATTCGACTAGCCGGAATCGCACTCGATCTGGCACGTAATCTCCGTCGACGCGCCACTGAATTGACCTTCCCTCACCATTCTTGTTGACTGGAAAGGTAGTAAGGAAAGACCCAACTTCGCGAACTCCAGGCATGATCATCCATAGAGTAGACACCACATCGCAGACGTCGTTATCTCTTAAAAGAGCGCGTAGTTTCATCCCGTTATTGTACTCTTTTAGTGCTAACGCCGCCTTCACTTTCATCGCCGAACGATTCAAATGAGGTCGCCCGGCCCTTCTGACCTTACCATTCAGCTTGATTTTTGGTGGTTGGGCTGCGGTCGTAGACATCTCTGCTGCTTGAGTCGCAGGACCAGCCACCTGAGTGGGCGGTACGTCGTCGGAATCATCCTTGGTAGCCGCATTCGCATCGCTAGCCTCAGTATCTTGCTGTTGTTCAGAATCCACCCCTGCTCCACTTTCACCTGCTCCTCCATCCGAGTTGTCATCATCATGTCTGTTGTCACCGTCTCGATTGGGGGCAGAATGCTCTGCCGTGGATTGTCCATTCCTCATGTTGTACCACCATTGATCCAACTGCGACATCGCACTAGCGAAGGCATCGTCTTCGAACCTCGCAAGCTCACCACTGATGCGACTAAGTGCCTGCTGAGCACGTCTGTATTTCTCCGCTTCACTCAACCTTCCACCAGCAGATTGTGAATGGGCTTTGTATATCTTAGCCACAAACGGTGCCGCCACCTCTGTCAACTCCTGTTGCGAGAGCCGGCTTTGACCAAACCACCTGCAAAACACATACCTGGTTAATACCTGATGAAAACATGGCCAATACCTGGACGCAAAGTCAACATACCTTGGCGCAATTGTCGAGAACGGGATAATGAATGGGTTGCCACAGCGCTTTCGGTACATCATGGCGTGTCGGCAGGGAAGCTTCATGGTCTGAGCAAACTCACAGTCGCACAAGTAACCCTCTTTCTCGATAAGATACTCACGTTTACCACCGCTGACAGTGACAGTAGTGCCATTGTCGGTAAACGTGTAGTTGTTAGCAACAGCATCATCCGTAGCAACATCGTATTGAGCATTGATCGCTGCCGCCACCCAACGTGTTGTCATTCCCAGCGCTACATTCATTTCTTCTGAGTAGGACACGTCCCGTAAGGTGCCAGGCATCTCGACCTTGGACCGATAGTCTTCCTCTTTGCGTCGCTGGTAGTCCAAAAGCACCTTCAAACTAGCTCTCATTGTAAAGTGGCCTTTGAGATGCCGTTTGAGCTTACCAAATAGGCTCTCCACGCGGTTGTTGGTGTGATTTCCGAAGTGAGGCAGATCAACGCGATACGCCATCACCCACATCTCGCAGCAGTCGTTCCAGTTTTTGTCAAAATACTCCCACAGATCGGTGCAATCATCTCGGCAAGCGAGGCTCTTAAACTCTTCACGGTGCATATGGTAGTCTTCCTCTGTCCTGGAGCAAGTCATGTTGGTGATGGCGTGTTTCATCTGCGCTAAAACATCCTCGTCGTAAGCACCGTATGACTTAGATTTTCTGATCGTCTCATGCAACCACTTGATCACGTGAAAGTGGCAATACAGCACCCGAGCTTCGAAAAGCTTCTTGCGAACCACCTCGACTTCGCGCATGTCCTTGTCGACGATCACAATACGGACGAACCGCCAGTGTTCGTTCGCACGCTTGAAATGATCCAAGCACTTGGCCATATGCCAGTCACCGTTCGTTTCGATTAACGAATACTGGACAGGCTGGCCTTGGCCAAACTGGTCCATACCAACCATCGTAAAAAGCTGGTAGTTGTACCTAATCATACACAAAGTCTGGTCAAAATCTGGTCATACCTGGGGAAAACCTGTCCAATTACTACCATGCAACTTACTGATTGGTTTTGTGCGTACAGTCCATTTGAATCACCTCGGGGAAGTTGTCCAACATCGCACGCATATGCCCACTAGTGAAGGAAAGCACACCGGTATCTCCACGTGCACTTTCGTGCACCGAAGAAACATTTGCCGATGACTCTCTGTTGAAGTCCATAATCATCTCAGCCACGGCATCGTTATCAGACAACTCCACACCTGCGAATGCATCAAGTTAGAGGGGAACAAGACGACAAGACATGTAATCAAACCAAACATTTACCTTGATTACGCAGCCGGCGAAGTAGATTGTGCACATCATCCATGGAGACTCGGTGCTTTGAGTTCTCTCGAATGTAGTTGTACACGCCGGCTTCGGATTCAACCAGCAGCTCAATACCTGGCATCAAAGGTGAGTCCGCCGGAACCTGGCGAATACCTGGATAAGACCTGTAAATGTCTTCGGAGACACGATGATTATGGGCGTACACTTCACGCTTCATCACAACGCCCCATTGACCGTCACTACGCTTGGTAGCTTGAGCCAGCATCTGAAACGGACAATCGGTAGTACTCAGCTTGTGTGACGTCCGCTTTCCCGTTGATCTGTCACGTTCGGACCACCCATGCGTACAGATAAACTTGCGCTGATAAGGTTCCATCTCTGCAGGGACGAGAGGCAACTCTGAGTCAGGAAGCCCTTGGTACCTCACTTGGCGCCGAAGATCAGCATTCCTGCGGGCTACATTGATCACCTCTTTCACCACGATTTTTTGGCGCGTCGCCTCCATGTATTCCTTGAGAGACCGCTCCAGCGAGGCCCACGAATCATGATGCGCCTTAAATACAGGGACCTGAACCAGCTCTTCTTCTTCGACATCGGAGACGGTTCTTTTCTTTCCTTGACGACGCTTTCTCGTTGGTTCCGTCTCCACTTCATCTTCTTCCACTTCACCCTCTTCCCCTTCGCCCGAAGCGATCTTTTCCTCCTCTGCATCCTCTTCATCTTCCACCGAATCGTCCTCTTCATCGACCGTAATCTTTTCTTTGCTTCACTCGACGTGTCCACACCTCCCTGCCCTTCCTCGCCATCTCCTCCTTCATCTGCGACGTCTTCTGTTGCCTCCTCCACTCGCTCTTGAGCATTGCTGTCCTCTGCTACTTCAGTTGGACTAGGGCGAGATGTCTCCATACTTTCTCTGGCGTGTGCTCTCTCTGAGCGCGTACGCGCCGCACGCAAGAGAGCGAGGTTAGCCTGACGAGCTTCCTCGGCCACACGCTCTTGCTCTGCCATCTTCGCCTTGATCTGGGCAGTCTTGTTCGTGCGTGCCATCCTCGGGGCGTGGGGGGGGCTGCCACGTGTCTCCCTAACTGGTGGCTAGGAATCAAAAGAAGAAAATGAGAGTAATTTAAACCGTTAAAACTCTACCTGGACAATACCTGCCGGTATACCTGGACAATACCTGAGTGATAAAACCTGGACAAGAGGGGTGCCGTTAAAAAAAAACGAAGCGAATGAGTAATACTGTACCAGGTTTTAAAAACAAATTGAAACTTCGACGTGCAATTACTACACGTACTTTGTAGAAGTATTTCATTATGCGTAATCTACATGTAGTTCTACTGACTACAGTGATATTTTTCATAAAAAATATTGGGCCGTATGTGAATTATCTCAGACTAAAAGTTTCCTTCGAAGTCCATTTCTCGTGTGGCCTATTTCGTCTTAATGTAGTAGAAGATCTTGTACTCGCGATATACTCCTGCGTTCGGGTCAGTTGTCCACTTCGCCTTGTCCAAGTTGAGTCTTTTGAAGACAGTTGCCGGCTCAATGCCTTCTGCGAGCCACTTTTTAAATTGCGCCAGCTGTAGCTCTTTTCCCATGCGTCCCGAGAACTGCACGTTTCGTGCTGCCTCAAAGGCCTTCGCCAGCGGGATATCGTCGTAGACTGTCGACAATTTCTTCATCATATCTGCTTGCCGGTCTGGGTTGTAGCGGTTCATCCGAGTAAAGAAGTAGAACCACACACTCAAAACGTTGTTGGCCATGACTTTGTCCACTCCTCCCTCACCAACCTTCAGCATTTGGAAAACAATGTCTGGCGATAACCCATTTTGGGCCCAGCCATTCAATTGTAACTCCTGCAACCTGTTACCAATTCCCCTAGTTTTCGGATTCTTTCGCCCCGCTTCGATCATTTTTGCTGTCGCTTCATCCCCGTATGTCTTTGTGAGCATCCCTAGCATCGTCACCATTTTCTTCGGGTTTTCCTTGTTGTACAGCACCATAAAGACACTCCACGTCCTTAAGTTGCGGCTGGCCAAGAGGTTTTTCGTCCCGGTATCGAGCTTTAGCAGTTTGAAGATGTCTTCAGGTGTCTTTTTCTCCTTCAGCCAAGCGCTAAGCTGTTTCCCCTCCTGGAACGAGAGCTTGATCTTTAGGATAAACGCTTTAATCCAATCCACGACCTTCGACACCTTCGACAAGCCAGGGATCGCGAACGCCCTCTCTTCATATTCGCCCTTTTCCGCTGCATTATTAATAGTCCTCAGCAACCTCCTCTCAGACGAAGTCGAGAAGCCGGATGCGATGTGCTGTGAGTCAGTTGCTGCACTTGTTGCGACGAGAGATACAAGAACCAGCAGTAATGATACCGTACAACAGAAACGCATGCCTGCTCTATTGTCTCTCCTTGCGTGTTTCAGCACTGGGGGATAAATGGCTTATTCGCGAATGGACGTCGCTGTCTTCCAGTCCTCAACTTGAGGGTAAAGAGAGCCGTACACCTGGACGCGAAAAAAAATGGGCGCTCGCGATTTCCTAAGCTTTTTTTGCAAACTGCAAATTATCGGATTCCCTCGATCGGACTAAGCCCAAAATCTGATTTATCCTACTGTAGCAGCATTAAAATAATCAATGTCTGTAAAACAAAACAAAAAATAAAAAAATTGGAGGCTTTGCAATTGCAAAACTATAGTGATCAAACTCTGACAAGATTAGTTTAATACACGTATGGATTGTTATAATACCCCGAGTTATTTCAAGGGAGCGAGTAAAATATATCAAGAAGGGGTTAAAAATAATGCACGCATTATGCAACGTGAATCACATGTCAGTGCTCTCATCTTGAGATTAGGAAACCTGCCGATTTGAAACTTCTCTTCTTGACCAATCAGAGTGGCTGAGATCAGTGACCATGGTTTAAAGATGGATGATCTTTTTGGGTCTGTTAAAAAACTGCTTCCACAGTACTTTTCACTGAAGCGGTAGTGCCATCTACGCGAGCGATGTTACTGTACATACAGTTGACGTTGCCGCGGCTATCGTGAACAGCGTCTATTTTATGTATTATGGTACCGGTAGTTGAACAAGAGAGTTCGATTAGTTGTGTTGTGGTCCACAACTTGTGGGGGATGATTGTCGTCGTCGGTGCCCAGTCGGCAAAGCGTTCGGGTAATAAAGTTTTTGTTTGAAACAATTATCGCGGTGAAGAGTCTCGTCACCTGTACCCGTACGGCACTGCTTAGCTGAAAACTTTAAATTCGGTGTCTCCGATGGTCATCGTGTCACCCTTGTCTACGATGTTAAATATCTTGTTTCCGATGGAGATCGTGCCCGACTCATTGAACGATCCGGCGTTGACATTGTCAGAGCTTGAGCTCTGCGAATGCATGGTGCACGGCGTAGACGCTTGGTTAGTGCTTGGTCTCAAATGACGGGAGGCGGTTGCTGCGCCAACGCACATGACTGCAAAGACCATCATAATACTGGCGAAGAACCTGGTCATAGTGGAGTCGCTTTTGATTTGTGCAGTACTTGTGGTGCTTGATCGTTTTTGGATAATGAATACCGAGGCAGGGATACCGGCAACTTCAATGCCTTGGTTTCCCTTGGTTCCAAAAGAATTGCCCATGTCAGCCTAATGACATACGGCTTGCCCCCAGTTCTAAAAGAACCGCCGTGTCACCTTTATTTTCTACAGTTTCAAGAATTCGAATGTCAGTTTGGATTCTCACCTCGCTCGAACACTCTCCAGTTATGCATCGCTACACGCCAAGGACGATACAGTATCAATTGTTGCTCTCGTGTGGCGTAGCACTGTAGTAGTAGTCTAGAAAATAGTAGCGAGACATGTATTACTGCATCGAAGGATTTTAAAATAATATTTGGTCTATTTTATCCGGCGCCTAGATTTCCTTATCCGGCGCTAGCAATCCAAAAACAGTCTGATGGAGCTGCTTCGGCGCGTGGGCTTCTTCTGCGCGCTCTGGACGTTGCAATGTTGTGCTTCCGTACTGGGTGCCATTTCACGTGACGCTATCTTCCTACGGTACTATGCGGCTTCGAGCGTGGCTGCTCTCACTCTGACGCTGTCTTTGAGCACCGCCTACGCATTGACACTGGCCACGCAGCTGGTTGACAAGCTAGCAGCTCGTGCTGTTCGTCCTGGCATACTATACGCCATCAGTCCTTTGGTGCTAGGCTGTGGCCTTCTTGTCCTAACGCTCCTTTCCCTAGTCGCACCCGTACTGGCTCGAGCGACCTCCGTCCTCCTCTACTTGTGGCTGGAAGTGCAGACCCAATGGTTGACCCAGCAGTTCTGGGATTTATGTGCCAAGGGCTTCGACGTGGCCCAATCCAAGAAGTTTTTCGGGATGATCACGTTCGGATCAACTTTTGGCAGTTTATCGGCGAGTTTCGTAGTGCTACCAGTAGTCCAGAGTCGGCAACTACCGACAGAATTCAACTTGCTGGTTTCTTCCGGAATGCTATTTTTCATCGCAGGAGTGTTGTTCGTATCGGCGGAACATTTCACGTCTGCAAATATTGCTCCGTCTGGGAAGAAAACTAAAAATCAGAAACCTGGGGATCCAAGAACGGACACGTCGTCGTCCACTGTGATTATTCGAGATATTCAGGCCAGAACGTACTTGAAACATATTTGCTTTTTCGACATGTTGGCCACGGTGATGCGCGTATTGGTGGATAATACGACGTTATCGGTGGTATCGCTACAGCCGGAAGAAGAGGTGAAGGCCTCGCTGTCGATGATCAACGGATTGCAGAGCTTCCTCATGATCCCGATGCAGTTACTGTCGGGGCCCTTCTTCACCCACTTTGGCGTCATGTACGGTATCGCGATGCTCCCGGTGACGATTTTTCTGTTTGGAGCATCGACCTACATTTCAACGGTGAGTGTTGGTCCTACTTTGAAGGAAGCTTTAATTTTTTTTAATGTTAATTATATGCCAAATAGTCTGCGTACTCGTTGATTTTCACGCGGGCACTGTACAACGCCGTCTCCCAAGCGATTTTCAACCCGGCTAGACAATTACTGTGGCTGCCTTTCAATGAGAGCGAGCGAGGTCGCTTCCAGAACTTTGTATGCGGACCGTTCCGCTCGCTGTCCCGGATTTTCGGCGCAGTGTTGTCGATGTTTCTGACTGCAAGTTTGGTCGTTCAATTCATTGGAGCGTCTTCTTCAAGGTGAGGAATTGCTACAACATTTACTTTTTTTAATTTATTGATGTATCATATTCATTATTGTGTCGTTTGTATTAGTATTATAATGATCGCGACGTCGGTAGCCTGGTTTGTGGACGCCCTCGCAGCCAGAAAATCGTACGCTTCCGAGTTCTACGCCTCGTTGCGACAAGGCTACTTGGATTTGACCTCACCACTGGTCGACTTTACACCGGATCAGGTAAGACTTGCAAAACAGGATTATTTTTTTATTTATTCTTTTGCACTGAATACGAATACTGTGACGTTAATGCAGATCGTGTTAGTGAAGGAGACGCTGGTGAATGGTGAGCAAACGCAAGCCAACTTCGTCTTGAGCTCGCTGTCCCACGAACACATCGGTCTCTTCTCCCAGGTTGGTTACTATCTGCAGCTCCTAGTAGCATCTTCAATGTATCATACACGTGGTGTTTGCAGGAACTGCGAGCGTTGTTCTACAAGACAAGCAGAGACGCTGTGCCTCTTACGCCGATGCACACGAAACTGCGCTTGTTGAATCTCCACACGGCAGCCAAGCGAGACTTCGTGCTCCATGCACAAGAGTCGTATCTACTCCCTGACGCCAGCACGTTCCCCACTGGGATTTTCAACACGATGGATCTGATGATGCTCGTCAAGGACAAATCGGTTGCAGTGCCACGTCAGCTTCGAGTCGCGGCGATTCTGGCGTGTGGATACGAAAAGTTTAACATGTACGCGGACCAGTGCTCCGAGATGCTTCACAAGCTGCTGCGTGGTGAAGAGGAAGACAAATCCGTCGTGGTATGCGCTGCAGTGGCTTTGCTGCGTCTATCGGACTGGATGGATGAAGAAGCGAACGTCATTCTCCAGCGATTACTGCACGAAGAGAAGGTAATGCGATGGAACGATTGAATATCTCTATGAAGCTTACGTCTTTAACGGTGTCTTTTTAGGTGCTGGAAGCGCGCGTGGTGGGCTTGAAAATTGTAGGCAAGGAGCTACCAGAGCTGCTGGGCGATGGCTTTCTGGTGTATCTACTTCACCACTCTTCGACTCAGATCGTCCAGGCAGCAGTTGAGTGCTGTTCCAACAGCTCTCGCAACTCTCGAATGCTTATTCCAGCTCTGATGAAACATCTCGCCAACTCCTTGATACGATCTCAGATTGTCACGGCACTGAAAGGGTTTGAACCGGCTGCGTTGTGGGGACCACTTTGCCAATACACGGAAGAGATCCTACGACTTCCCACTCAAGCACTGAGCAATTACGCACTAACTTCGGACCGGATCCACAACAAGAGAGAGGGATTGGCAGGTGCACTTAAAGTGCTGGACCTTGGTGGCTTTCCGCTTGAAGATAAACTGGATTTTCTACTGCACTTGATGGAGACGTTACTAGTGACGTCAAAGGCACCGGACGATGGGGTTGATAAGGTCAGCACGGACGTTTTACATCATCTTTTTGGGAAAGATGTGGTCATGGAGGAATTGATTGTGGACGCGCTGCTATCGCTGGTAAGTGCGCGACCTAGAAGAATGAGTCTTCTGTCCAGCGTTCTTAGTGTTTGGGACTGTTTTGTTTCTTCCTCTGTAGATCGCATCAACGGACGAAAAGACGATGAACTCGTTTTCACAGTTGATGGACCCTATCCATCACGCGCTGAGTATCAAGATCCGTGAAGCCCATGAAATGCGTCACGTTCTGGAACTGTTTTTCCAGATCTGTCCTCGTACAGCTACAAACATTGAGGAAACCTCTCCTCTCTTGCTACAACATGTCGAACACAGCTTGAAAGAAACGCTTCGGCTGCTGCTGAAGCTACTTTCAACGGGATTCCCTAAGGAATTCGATGTCGCGGTGATTCTGGAAGGTTTGCAGTCAGATCTGGGACAAGTGCACTCCGCCATTCAGGTATCGCTTGAAATCCCGCTAGTATCAGCTTAAACCGCGGTGGCTAACGGAGTTTCCTTTGTTTCCTAGGAGGTGCTGGAGAATCTACTTCCCTCGTCCTACAAAGGACTGGTGCTGCCACTACTATTTCCGAAATTGTCGACTACAAAAGCGGCGTCAAAGGTTCGGGAAATTCGTGATCATAACTGGGCGTAAACGAGGCTGATACTCCGCTGTCTTTCAGATGGCAAAGGACGTCGAAGAGTTATTTGGTGGAAAAGATGGCGTCGACAATTTGCTGGATGTGATGAAGCACCAGGACACAGAGCTGGAGCTGTCAGCTCTTGCTCTCCACTATTTCCTCCACATCGCTGGGAACCATGCAGAACACCTGACCGATGCAGCGAAACTGAATTTCCAGGATGAGATCATTCCGAACTTGCTCAGCCACGAGCTGACCAAGGAACTCCTGATTGAAACGTATCACGGGTATGCAAGCTTCGTTTCCTTTTTGATGTCTGCGGCACTCATCTGTGCCTGCTTCACCGTTGTAGCAGCCCCGAAGTGCTTCCGTACGAGTCCGTTGCTAATCTCAAGGATTGCGAACCCCCGTTGCTTTCACGAATCGCGGTGCGTATCAGGTTTTTACCCAACGTCTTGGTCGTTTACTGACACGTGTGTTTGCAGGTCGCAAACTGCCTTCGTGTATCGTCATTGTTCGAGAATGTGTGCGCAATTAGCATCTTGCGGGTGATATCGCACCATTTCTTGCCGATAACTGTGACGCGTGGACAAACCTTCGCAGTTGAAGGCGATATCGGTAAACTAGTTGTAAAATGCTGTCACTTTCCGTGCAGGTTTTCTAACTCAGCTATTGCTTTTCCAGCTTCAGCCATGTACGTCGTTGCCACGGGTACGGTCCAGCTCCACAAAGAGCGAAGGATTCTAGCAGTTTTAGGCTTTGGCACGTGTGTTGGACAAGCTGCTTTGCTGCAGCACTCGCTTCATGCTGGAACCCACATCTCGTCGGCAACTGCGCTTGAAGACTGCATTCTCCTCAGTATATCACGAGAGGAGCTTGACGCGCTGATCAAGGAGACGCCACAGGTGTCTAGAGGCGTTCTTAATGCTGTCGCGTCTTCTCTCCAGTTGCTATACTTCGAGGTAAGAGCACAACTATTAAACGCCTCAAGCCTAAACTCTCTGTTTTTTGTGCCAGCCACTTCGCGCTATTGCTCAATCGGGGAGTCTTCCTCGTCGTGATCGCAGAGCGTCTTTGACTGCGGAGACAGCACATTCAGACAGCGAAAAGACCCACCCGATGCTCAAGATAACCGAGTCGCTTACGACTAACATCAAGGCAGCGCTGTCGGTGGATCGAGCGGCGAAATCCTTCCTGTACAACGTCGGTCGATGTCGAACTACTCCTCGCGGAGGCCCTTTATCACTGCCAGGCAGACGCCGAAGCTTAAGCAACTCGCAGCCGACCGGGAGAAGTCCGACGCTCGCGTCAAAGGGGCTGCTTGCGCTTTCAGATCCCGCCGACTATACGACGTTCGAGAAGTCGATTCACCTGAAGGCTTCGCACTTGATGCGGAACCTCGATGACGACAAGGTGTCGCTAGTTGCCCAGCTATCTCGAGTCGTGATGCTTAGTCATGGTGACGTGCTCTACTCCAGTGGTACTACTGTGGAGTGCATCTACGTTATCATCGATGGCACAATGGAGATCACACATCCCCAAGGCGATTCAGACGCGTCGACTGCTTCAACGTCGATCAAACTTCACGGTGGCGACTGCTTTGGAGAAGAGGTACGCTATCTGGAGAATCCATGGTGAGTCTCGAGTTCTAATGCGTTGCTGATGTTGCTTGTTATCCAGTCGTTCGTGCCTAATGCAACAGTTCAAGCGACAGCCACAGCACTTGGTAGATGCACGCTTTTCGAGATCACGACAAAGGAACTAGTTGACTTGAGTGAGCTGCACCACGACATCATGCACGTTCTTCTCGCTTGGCTTTCTCAATCGTTGGCCGAGTCAACGAAGACGATGATTGCTCCTCTTCTTTCTCCAACTACTCCTAGTACCCCCACTGTGTTCTGGGAAGACGAAGAAGACACGAACGAGTTAAGAAACCGAACAGGTAAATGGAGATCCGAGACAGATTGAAACAACAGTCAGCAGTTTCGAAATCCAATAGAAACGGGACTCACATGTGTTGATTGACCTGATTTCACTTACAAAACACCGTCTTGAGACTCGCCGAGTGGAGTTAAGTGGAGGTCTTCGAACACTGGCATGTGCGACACAAAGTGCTGAAGCAGGTCGAACGTTGGGTCTCGATAGCACGGGAGGTCGAAGCATGCAGAGCCGACAAGAAAGATGTCCACCCCCTCCTCTGTCTTGGTCACGCGTGCGGCCACCACGAAGTTGTTGTGCATATTCAGCTTGCTCATTTGAAGTCCGAGGTCAAGTTTCACAGAGGGAGACGAGTTCTGGTTCACAGAGTCGCTTGACGCGTCTGCCGCGAATGTGCACAGGTAGTGATCGTGCACGGCCTCCATGGAAATCTGCCACGGTCCGTCTTCTTCGTGGGTTGCACTGACGGTTTCGACAGTCGCCACTGCTTGTTGGTTCAAATCTTGTGAGAGCAGAAGCATTCGACACGTTAGCGAGCAGTCCGTCTCTTGATGCGTGATGATCGAGTCTTGTACAAGCGGCACGAAAGTTCGGAAGATCTCATCACGCTCCAGAGAGTTCCAAAGTGCCATTGCGACTTCTTTCGCCTTGTTGGTCACTCCCGAAGGAAGCACGCGATGACAGGTAAAGCTGATGTGGTCGTTTATAAGGATCCCCGTTGCGATCTCCCACCCGTGAGACTCGAAATGTAGTGACAAGTGGAAAGACGGGGAGCCTTCCATGGCCTCATGCAAGAGCTTTGACGCGTTCTCTCGACAAACCGTCACAGCTGCACGCAGACGTTCATCCAGAATCAAACGAGGATGTGAACGCTCCTTGACTTCTCCACGCCATTCGGGTAGAGCGTCCAGACTCTGTTGCAAACACGATTCTTTCTGCTCGGCACGGGATGATACAAAGTCGAACAGCGGTGCTGTCTCCATCAAACTGCTAACTCGTTGTAGCCAGTGCGAATGTTCCGCCAGTTTCCGTTTCATAGTGGCCACAGTCTGTTTGGCCTCGATACAGCGTTTGCCAAGGTCATGGACCGAGCTCGAGCAGTTCTGCGGTGGGGACGCTAGTCGCTCTTTTACTTCCGCGATTTCCTGCTGTAACTGGTCAATCTGAGCTTGGTAGTCACTCGAGTCTACCTTCTGCTTCTTGCGGGATCTTGCTGACTCACTGTCGTCATCTCTCTGCATTGCGCTACATGTAGTAGGCTGCTCGATGGGGTACTGAGCTATAGGCGAATGCAATCGAGCTTCATTCTCTTCGTGCGCTGCTTGCAGCGTCTCCAAAGGTAAGGAATCCTCGTTATTTGGACTCTTCGACTCCATGGGCGAATGGATTGTGAGCTCATACCTGAAAGTGCATGTCGTTTCCTCTCTGTGATTCACGCGCGGTGATAGCAGGGACAGGGGCGACGACCTGGGACGTGCGCGGGATCGTCAGATCTTTGCAACAGCTTCGCCTTGTTCCGACCCACTACAGTTGTGAGGTTCTTCGTGCAACAAGTTCACCACGTCGGATTGGGACGAGGTTGCAGTCGTTGAGCGACCCAGTAACAATCAACAGTTCATCTGTCTTCTTCGTCGTAATCTTGAGACGTTAGGCATGACGTCACAGAGACGTGTACCGGTCGAGAAAGAGATGTCAAGGCGCATCGTTAAACGCATCGTCTCGCATCGAACAGACTTTTTTCGCCGAGTACATTAGCTAACAATGCAGCTGCTTGCGTTTCCCGAAGCAGCCAACTTGGACTGTTGCAGCAATTCCTCCACTTGCGCTTTATCACTGGCAGCTTCCTCTTCAGTAGTAGCTCCATTGCCAGTAGCATCCACGGGTAAAGGTGGGAAGAGCTGCTCAATCGATACATTGGCGGTGTCGCGTCGGCGATAAAACAAAATATACGCCATCGACGACACCACCTCCTTCTCGTCGATATCTTTGCATTGATGGTCGTTGAAGCATTTCCACTTGCCATCATGATCACTCAGCACGTACGCAAAGTAGTGTCCTCCCCCCAACGCACCTACGTGGTTCACGACCGCATACAGATCGTATAGGAAGCCGTCGTCGCCACGCACTGCAGCAGTGGCTGCCGCTGGAGCATCCAACGCTGATGACGACACTCGTCGAGGAGATCCTGGTCTTGCCAGCTTGGAGCTGCCAGTAGGCGACGGCTCTGCTTTCCCATCTGCCTTTAGCTTCCCTCCCAGGAACAGCCAATACTCCAGACCAGACAGTCGACCACGAGGTTCGCGCTTCCGAGCGACAAAGTCACCAAACTGCAATCCTCTTAGGGGGAAATCGACAAGATGATGCAGTTTGCGTCGTGATACTTGGGTAAAGCAGAAGCGCTTCAGGTGGATCACCAGCAACGGAGGTAACCGCCACAGATCCATCTTCTTGGTGGCGGGGCGCAACGTCTTGCAGTGTCCACAATAGGCTTCTGGAATCGTTTCCTTGGCCGTAAAAATCTCCATGCAATGCGCCAAGTTCAGCGGCTGATTATCTTGTCGCTGATGCTGCTGCACGGACGCGTCAAAGTCCATCTTGCTCGCTTGAATCGGGTCGTACTCCTCTTTCAGGGTACGAATATCCCAGTCAATGGCTACCGTTTCCTCCGCTGCCAGTGGTATGACCGTCTCAGAAGACGGAAGCAGCAAACAGCCCAAACAGCCATCGAGCCATTCACAGCGAGAACATCCGATCCCATGAGACGTAACAAGGCGTAAGCAGAAGCCAAACTTGGTCAAGGGCAGGTGTGCACCAAGTGCTAGTGACGAACCATCCGTTCGAATCCGCGCGCGGCCTTGGTTCTTATCAAAATTTGACGGGGGAGGAGGCTGCTGCCAGTTAAATATGCGCCGTAATCGGTTCCAGATAAGCAGATAGAGGTTATATGCCGTCGTAACGCGCAGTGATACCCGAACAATTAGCGGCGCACCAAATAACCGCGTGATGTGTGCGTTCGTGAAGCTGTCCGTTGATCGCTCCACTCGACGGTGCACCAAGAAGATGAATGCGTCGTTTTGGTGACGCTCAATCACTTTCGACAACGGGATATGATACCGTCGGACGCCCGTAGAGTACGATACATTAACTACCCCCGAGTTGGCGCTACTCCCAATCACACGAGCAGCGGCCGTATCCTTCGTCTTGTCGATACGAATGTAGACTGACGTCCCGATCGGCAGCAATTCGTCATCATCCGGGTCACTTTCATCGTATGCATCCACACTATCAGTCGGAGTCGGGGGTTCACAGCCATGTGTCTTCTTTACATTTCCGTTCCCATTTAGAGAAGCCTTGCCATTCACGGGCTTCCCGTTGACCGGCTCCGCACTCCCGTTTCTAGTTACCTTCTTCGGGTATACACTTGCCCTCACACTAGCGCTTGCCTGATCGGCAGTATCCAAGGATGTCGCATCATCTTGAAGTTCTGCTGGCTTCGGTGACACTTGCTGAGGAGGAAGTGAGTCATCGTCACGGTCAAGTTGAAATGCTGTCAGTTGGTCCTTCTCGTGAATCTGGGTCAACGGTAAATTGTCGTCCAACAGCGTCTCCACCGTGTGCTGATCCGAGGTCCTCGCGATCACCACTTTTGTCCAATCCCCTTCTCTTGACAACTCTTTGTTCTCGACTTTCTCCTCCATCTCGGGTAAACTCGACCTTGCTTTCTCCATATTATCCAAGAACGCCGCCACCTCGTCCTTTATCTTCTTAACCGTATCGCCATTCTTCACTCGCACGGAAAAGCGCAACGGTACGCGATCAGTGCAAAAGATGATCGTCAGCACGATAGACCGCGAGTTACTCTCGGGCAGCGACAACTGTAAGAAGGTGAACGGCTCGAATCGCGCTGACTCATACCGACATACTGAGCACTCCAACAAGCTCTTGTACTGGCCAGTAAAAAGCGCCACAATGACCGAGAACTCTCGTTTCTGATGATTCTGCCACCACTCCTCCGCTACCAGAGCGTCAGGCCGTCCGTCGCTATCGGGTTGCTCCGTGTAAGGCTTCTTCACAACACGGTTCAGATCCTCACTCAAACTACTTAGCAGACACGCCAGTAATTCCTGTGCGTCGTGCTGGTCCGATCCAGCAAACTGAGGGTTGCACTTTGCCAAAACCTTCTTGAACTCATTCGGAGCGAGGCGTTTACGATCAGAAGTCCAGAGGATCCGCAACAACTCGCCAAATGCCGCAGTCAGTTTCCCGTTGGTTCCGTCACGATTCCGCAGATTAATATCTTTTAGATATGCCTCGTTCTTAAAGTACTCGACCAGTAACCGTGTGTGGCTCAAACACTGCAACGCACTGCTCATGTAGCACGTGTTGCCCAGATTGTCCAGTCCCACTAGGCCTGGGCCTTTAAAAGCGCCCTTAGAAAAGCGCTTTCTTACTACAGGCGACGCTAACACGGGATCCACTTCTATCGTCGGGGATCCAGCCTCACTCCCAGGCCCTACCACGTTCACCACCGTTAACATGACAGCATAACAACGCTACAGTAAGCATATTTCCGACGTACCCCGCTGCCCCAATGCCTCCCCGAGGTTGCCTCGGGAGCAGATATCAGACGTGCGCATCGAAGGACGATGTTCGCGCTGTCGTTTCCTTGATGCAGCGCCGGGTCTCGCTTTCAGCCACTCGGCCATTTCCTTGTGTCGGTTGGCGAGCGCCGCTGTTTGACGGTGACGAGGTGATCGTGTCATCAGTCTGAGAGAGCGGCCACGAGCCATCGTCGTCTTGAACTTCCAGCAAGAACACACTGTCTTGTGTCAATTTCTTCAATTCGTCCGGGTATTCGTCGCGCAGGCGTATCTTGTAATCCGGGGCTTTGTCATTAAAGTACCACAACCTCGCCTTATCCATCAACTTCAGCAGTAGCAGAGCACGGCAAGTGGCTTCTAAAAGACTAGCTGGAGTGCTTAGTTCACTCAGCAAAATCTCTTCGCCAGACCGAATGACGCTGCCATTCGAAGGATCCACACGCGCAACGCGTAATACTAGCGGGAACAGCTCGATTTGAAGCTCAGGTTCAGTTTGCGTGGGGACCTCGACGATGGATCGCACCAAGTCGGGTCCTCCGCTGTACCAGGAGAACAAAACGGTATTGACTTGAGACGGAATCGTCTGCAGCACGATAAAATATTAATATAATACCGAAAAAGACAGCGCGTGGAAGTACGTACGTAGTAATCTCGGGCCAGTACGAGCTTCTGCTTTAGCCTCCTGGAGCCGCTTTGCATGAGCAAACTCCAGTTGGCAATCGGTCCGGGTCGAGGCGGTCTGTTGCTGCTTCCATCGCCACTATAGCTAGCAGAGCGTAAGGCAATATTACCACGAATATTTCTCGCCACTTCCACGACCGTAGTAGGGGGAATCAGAGGCACAGGCAGCGATCCGTACGGACTGCCGTTCTTCGGGTCCATACTCACATAGTCGCACCATTTACGCCACCAGTCAGCTCCCACCAAGTTCCACGTCTACAAACAGTAAAGCAAACGCCTGCGTTAGTCAACTTGCAATAAGAGTACTGCACACCACACTACAATCTCATACACAACGTACGTGTCCGATACCAATGACACGAGTCGCTTCGCGCCAGTGCCACTCCACAATCCTCTTCTCAAGGTACGCCGACTCAGGCTTCAGTCCAAACAAGATACACGCTGCAAACGCCAATTGATGATGCAGCCGCTGCACAGCCGGCGCACCAGCTGCCCATTTGGCAAAAGCTTCTTCGTCCCACCCCGTCTCCGCAGTCTGTGTAGCCGAAATCTGCATCACAACACAGTCGTCGTCAGCTCTACTGTAGTCCACTAACTACTGTTGCCACACACATAAATACCTCCTCAACGTGTCGTTCTTCCTCTTGCACAGCATCTTCGCTCGCATTCGTATCGCAATGCACTCCAACACGGATCAATTCCTTCATAGCTACAAAGTCCACTCTGCCAGTGCTGCGATCACTGTAAATCTTAAACAGACAATGCACTTTTTCCTCCCTGGAACACCCTCGACAGAAATCCGACAAGAACTGGCAGAGCTCCTCAAATAACACCAGCTCGGGCATCGCTGTACACTCACAAAACCTGTCCAGCAGCATCTGTGGGAACAATCCTCTAGCACTCAACACCTCAATGAACTGTGCGCTCGGTATCCTGGTGCTGGCCCCTCCTTTGGGGTCGAACATTTTCTGGAACTGCCTCTCCAGTGCTGTAACTTCCGTTAACGAGAACAGTGTGGCCTGTGCAATGCGTCGACGGATAGCCACTGGGTTGTATGTCTTCTCTAGCGCTAAAATCTGCGGATCATCCTCTAAGCCGATCTTAGAGGCCAATACAGCCAGCCATTTGACTAGTAACGCGTCTCCACGCGCATCTTTCTGCTGTACGACGTGTCTGAACTCGTGCAAGTTCAATACGGCACGGCCGTCGAAGACTTTATCGAAGAACTGCACTGTGGTGGCGTGTCGGGCTCTTCGGCGGCCGTAAATGACGTCCATGAACCTGTCCAGAACCTCCCGGGGGACTTCTCCAGCTGCATCTAGGTCGTAGACGATGAATAACAACTGTACTTGCTCTTCGTATGTGCCATGCTTAAGCCAAGCTAACCCGCTAAGTACGTTCACGAGACTCAGCTCGCCTGAGTGCTCCGTGTCCAGCACTTCGAACAAGCGGTCGGCTAGTGAGTGCGGGATCATAGTGAAGGCTCCAAGGACCTTGTTGCGGAACAGTTTCTTGCCTAATAAAGGCCCATTCGTTGTTTCTGTTGTGGTTGCGATTGTCACTCCCGTTAAGTTGCTGCTGCTCCCGTTAGAAGCCGAGGAGCTCGCACGTTGCAGGGAGGATGCAGAATTGGAGGTCGAGGCGGACGCACTGCCTTCCACGCGACTGATACGCCGATATCCGTCAGTGTAGCGCTTGATCTCGGCATCTGATAGGCGGGATACATAGGCGTCCACGGCGCTGATGTCGGCCGATGCAACGCCGCCCATACCAATGACGTTCCCCATGGCTCTTCCAGCTTTGACTGATCTTTTGTATGAGAAGGGGGCTTCAATGCGGAATGCAACATCAACACCACGTCAAATCAGGCTCGCTCCTACCCTAGGTCTTTACGCACCTATACTAGATCATTTTCCGGTTATGTAAATTTGATGTAAAGCACATCCCTGGTTTAACACTGCTCGCGCAGAGCCTTCCATTCCATCGTCATGCTGGCACGCCGAGGGCGCGCTTGCACGCGCCGTAGCTGCTTATGGCGCGCGATGAATGACCAGTTGCGTCCTTCGACTGCTCCACACAGCGCGGAATTCCACGTGTTGCGCACAGGAAGCTCCAACTCGAATCTGTGGCCGACACTCTTGACGTCAAACCGCTCAACGCTGACGTCACCGTCTTCTCCTCTTGGTGCGCGGTTCCTGTCTCAGAACCTCATCGACCCAAACTACGAGGAAGGCATCGATGATGAGGCTAAAGCGGGCGACATCAAGGAGGCCAAACCTCGAGAGCGTAGGGAACCGCGGGACACGCGTCTCATTTCGCTGGAACGCCTCGAAGATGAGTACATGATGCGCCTCACGGAGGCGCTGGAGACGTCAGACGGCTCGGCCGCGTGGCGTACAGCGCTGGAAATTTTCCACGAGATCCAACACGCCGGTGGACGTGGCCTGGCACTCGAAGTGGCCTCCTTCCTTGTGGAAGTACTAGGTGCCAGGAGACGAGTGCAGGACTGCATGCGCGTGCTCGCCTACGCGCGGGAGCAGGGCGTTCGCCCACGTATCCAGTCTTACTCGAGTGCTATCAGCTGCTGTTACAAGGAGGAAGAGTACGGCCATGCGTTGCGTGTGTTCGAGGTTATGCGGAACGACGGGTACGTCCCCCAAACCGTGACGTACTCTCACGCGCTGTCGTCTGCACTCAAGGCCGGTCAACATGAACTGGTGCTTGAGATATTCGACGACATGATTAAGAACCGCTTGGACCTAAACATCATCATCTACAACAACATCCTTAACAGTTGTGCGCGAGCCTCTGACGTGCAGAGCGCGGTGGGCGTCCTCCGTGCCATTCGTCAGCGTCGCCTCGAGATGACGCAGGCCACGTATCATTCGCTTGCTATTTGCGCCGGCAAGACGGGCAAGTGGGAACTGGCCCTGGATGCCATGGACACTATGGAGCAGAACGGCTTCGAGCCCACACAGACCATCTTCAACTCGGTCTTCTCCGCCTGCGCGAAGGGCAAGCAGTGGGACACGGTAGTGGAAGTGTATGAACAAATGTCTGACGAACACCGTGAAAATCTGCGCGGCGTGTACCTTGGTGCAGTAATTATGGGCCACGCCAAGTCGGAGAAAGACGAGATCAAGCTTCATGGACTGGAGATTTTTTACAAACACAAGGCGCATCGACCCAAGGAGGAACATCTCAACTTGTTCTCCTACAACGCTGCTCTTATCGCCCTTCTAGAGACCAACCAACTGGAAAAATTGCATCCTCTAGCCAACGAAATGAAGCAGCAGGGAATGAACTGGGATACCGTGACGTACCAAAGCCTCATTCTGTCCTATATTCGCGGAGGAGCCGTGGAGACGGCGGTGCAAATGCTACAGAAGAATGCTAAGCGTATGGGCAAGACCACCATGTGCTATCGTGAAGCCATCAATTTCTACAACGAGAAACGCAAGAACCCGCGCGAGGCCGTGCGTCTGACCATGCAGATGATGCAGATGAACAAGCGTCTGAGTCGTCTGGACTGGCACAACGCCTTGCGGATCGCGCTGCAGCTGCCCGAGCGCGCGCCCTACTGGAATTTCCGCAAGTGGATGGACGTTCGCGCCAAGAGTATCATAAACGACGTACCGCCGCACCTCATGCTGCCAAAACACTCGGACCAGCCGCGTTCGCTCCTGCAAGAAGATCCGTCAACTAAACAGGAGAAGCAGCACCAGAACAATTCCGAGCGCACTCCGAATTACAGGAATTCCCATGAAAAGTTGCTGTAAGAAGTTTCTTAAGTAGACCATTTTGCTTATATCTTTGTCTCTCGTGCTTTCATCCATCTGCATGTACCTTTGACGCTGCATTGAAGTCTTCCTTGACATCCGGGGTCTTACTACCGATGATATCGAAGCCATAGGGATGCAGAAGTGTGTTCGAATTACTGATTCCAGCCTTTCTCGAATTATGGATTTTCAAGTGAACGCCACCTAAGACTCGGTTCGAACTCCACTACACTTCACCCATTTCGCGATTCGACTTCGACTGCGCACTTTCCAGACTTCGTTTTCCATCTAGGAAACACCATTGACAATGCAAAAGAAAACGCTGGTCTTCGTGTTGATGCTGCACATCGAGGCTGTGCTTGGGCACAGCTGGATCGACTGCCTGGACACGGATCGCACGGTCGTCTACAACCGCGGAACTGAGTACATCTACGGAGGAAGCAAAGCCAATGGCATGTGCGCTGGTTACATGAAGAACTACGTCGGTCGAGGTGACCCTGATGTGAACTACAAGATGACGTTCAAGATTCTGATCGCCGACGTGGCGAAGAACGCAGCGATCTGCACTACCGACGTCTGGGACTACTCGGACTGGCGTCATCGCCTCAGTTTGACTGCCGGGGCCACCGTTTACTACGGCTACACATCCAATGGCCACATTGTCAAGGAGCAAGCGGCAGGCAAGACGTTCTACGGCGTGTACTGGACTGGTGTCCCGGGTACGAGTTTGGCCACGACATTCGACTTGGCCGCGGACAAGCTCATCGATGGTCAGCTGCACAACTTTGACGATGGCAATTGTGGTGAAGCATACTCAGATGAAGCCCATACGATTCCTTCAGGACGATCTGGAGACGGATACCCTTGCGTAGGCACCTTTAGCATTCCGGTCGGAACAGCTCCTGGTGTCTACAACCTCGTTTGGTACTGGAAATTCTACGATGCCGATACCAACACCTCGATCCCGACGTCCAGTGGGATCTATGGTGGCGCGGCCTATACAAGTTGTTTCCAAGTCGAAGTCACGGCCTAATCCACTTGAGTTTCAAACGCTTGGAACAACCAGGCAGACAACGTCTGACGAAGACTCGAGGAGTTGCAGCAAATGTTGATATTAGCCACATTATCGATAAGCATTATCAATCAACATCTCGTCGGATAAACAGAGTGAACATTTCGTCTTAGCCCGAGTGAGCCTTGCGCAGAGCAATAGTGGCAGCGCATGTGCAAATGATAGCAGCACCCACGACACTCCAGTAGTTGATTTTCTCGCCAAGCAGCAGGTAGTCCCACATGAAGACACACACCACATCCAAGTAGCGCATCACCGAGGCAATACCAGCCTTCTCAAGCTGGAAACCCTTCGTAAGCAGCAGCTGACCCACGAACGTGAACAAGCCACTACCAACGATAGCCAGCCAGACTCCCGTGGTTGAAGGAACCACGAATACCTAGCACAACCAAGAGTCAGATCGATTATACGTGCAACATATTAGCACAATACTTGTTGTATGTACTTACCCGTTGCACCAGTACCATGTACAAGAGCGTTCCAATCAAGCTGAAGAGCATGAAATAGTGGACGATGACCATAAAGTGGATGCCCTTGAGCTTCCGCACCGAAATGAACACGAACGCCTGACCAATGGCACCAAGCAGCGCTGAGCCAATAGCAATCCACGAGCCATCCGAGTGCGCTGTATCATGGTCATTGCCAAAGATGAAGGCAGGACGAACGACGCAGAGTAAGCCGCCGAACGACAGTAGCGCACACGCAAAGCTGGGAATATCGATTCGTTCGTGAAGAACGCATGCTCCCTGGACAACAAGAACAAGTTACAGTACAGTCAGGGTACGCTCTCGAGAGGAACTAAACGTCATGAACAAACCAGGAAAAAGGTGAAAACAGGTGACGTGAAGACGACTGTACTCGCGTCAGCGAGCACCATTTGAGAGACGGCGTAGAATGCGAACGAAATGGACGAAAAGCCGGCCAAGCAGCGGTAGAACAGCATCATCCGGTCTTCCGGAGCAATGTACAGAGACTTACCACTGTACCAGATGCACGCCTAAATTGCACCCACGTTTAGCCATCGCCATAACATGAACCAGTACTGTAGTAGACACTTACATAGTTGAGTACCATAGCGACAATCGAGCGCCAGAAAATGGCCTCGATGGACGTCATGGTATACGTGTTGAACTTCAGCATTGTGGACATGAGACTGAAGCACACAGCCGACAGGGCAACGCATGAGATGCCTAGAAGCTTGTGCGGCTGGTCCTCTGTCTTGACGTCCGACGACGTGGTCGGCAGCAGCGGCCTGTGCTCCGACACGTGCTTCTCCGCTCCGATCGACATGATTTCTCAATGCACTGGTGGCTGTGCTCAACGCTGTCGGTTGAGTTATGAATGCTTTGATGAGTGTCCACGTCAGTGACGGCTGGCGCGTTTGGCCAATCAAGTGTCTGTTCATCAATGGACTTAGCGGAAGAGAGTGAAGGTGTCGCAACGGTGCAAGAATAAAATGTATTTAATTCAACGGAGAAACTTTATAATCATTGATGAAAGATGAATATCACTACATGTATCACAAATTGTGATTCACTATGAGCTTTATCAAGTTTGAGAGCACCTTGACACTTACCGGTACTTCCTCTGTCCGGAAATAAAGGGCCACATCAAATTAAAAGGGCACTCGTTATTTTGCCTGACTGAGGTAACATAGCATCGCCTTTTATACGTGTACAAATAGTATAGTACGGTTAAATTGGAGTAAAGGTTGGACACTAGCGCGTTTGCACTCGTCTGCGGGCTTATAGCCGTGGGCCCGCCCCTCTCTTCACTTGCTGCGCTGCGCTCGGGGGGCGCCGCTGCGCGGCCTGCCCCACCCCGGCCTCTAAGTCCTCGACTCGGCAAGGCGCTGTGTCTGGGATTGCAAATTAATTCCGAGCGAGTGTTGCCAAGACCGTCGGCTAAGTCCATTTTATGCATGTTGGGGGGTATAATTGTATAGTCGGTTAGCCAGTCGGGTAAAATACTCACTTCCAATTAAAAGCTGAATCTTAGGTTTTAAAAAGCCCAAAAAATCGAATTAGCGTTAGCTTATTAGTGATAAGAAACATTGTACCTAACCATCCAATCAGAGGCCCAAATGCGAAACATACAACGAAATTACGTAGCCGGGACAGCAAAACCAAGGAAATAGTTTTATTCCTCGGAATAAATCACGATAAATTACGAGAGCCTGTCCCGGTGAAATGTACCATTGTTGATTTTTAAAAAAAATCAGCCATAGGCTGTGGGCCGTTCATTTCAGACCCACCTTCTCGACGTCGTGGACGAGCTTATCAAGGCTGGCGGCAAGCCGAAGAAAATTCTAAAGTTTTTGCAGGAAACTACTGATAAGTGTTCCAAGCGTTCTTATTCAAATATCATGCGTTTTAATCGTATTTGCATGTCTGTAGGTAAGCATGTCATACTTCGAGACGTTCATAACATGGTGCAACGACTAAAATTACGACGTCGTGGGTCCGGGACAGCTGAAGACCGTTTGGAAGCTGTCCTGCGCAAGTTTTGCTCTTCGCGTGACAGCACTGCCACTGTTTTCACTGACGACACCAGCACGACTCAAACAATCACCCTACAAACGCAGCAAATGAGATTGTTGTAGGCCTTCCCCGAAGTGGTCATGCTGGATTCAACGCACGGGACTAATTCGTCTAAGTACAAGCACTTCAGTTTCATGATTGACGATGTCTTCGGTCACGTAAGTACTGAGACTTTGGTGGTTGGTGATCATTTGATGATTCATAGGTGATCTATCGTTGATTGGTGACCAATTGGTGATTCGTTGGTGTATGTTCAAGTTGATGGTTATTGTTACTAACCGCTATGATTTTGTATGATACGGTCAATACGTGCAACACGCACTGATTGAGAATGAAAGTCACCCCTGTATGTTCGATACTATTGGCGCGTTCAAGGAGAATAACCCTTCCTGGGACAGGATCCGGGCAATCATGATTGATAATATTTTTTGGAGTAATCAGTCTTCTTAAGAAAGAATTCCCTTTCGTTGGTGTCCTCATTTGTCACTTCCATCTAATGAAGTACTTAAGGATAAAGATGTCGAAGGCAGGGTACGGTGGCCGCGATGGCGTTGATGTGAATCGAGTCGAAGACGCAGTGGACATGATGGTAAAGGCTCAAGACGAAAAGAAGTACGGCCGATGTTTACGCTGCATATAATATCTACTAGGTGGCTTCGACGAGAAAGATAAGTTACCTGAATCAAAGCACCTTCTGCTCGTGTATTTCATCAATAGGGACTCATGCAAGGATATGTGGGCTGTATATGAACGCGGTCATGTCCCGCAGCTTGGCAACCACACAAACAATCGGTACGCTCGTGCTGCATACATGTATAATACGATTATTAAAACTAAAACTAACGATCTGCTATTTGTAGATTGGAATCGGCGTGGGGGATCTAAGCAAAATCCGTAACCCCTTTGCCCCCATGTGTTGGAAGCTCCAACAAAAGAGGTGTATACCCTAATTCAATCTGGTTGCAGTGTCTTTGTTTATGTTGGAACGCTCAGCATAAGCGAAATTTCGATTTGAGGTTTGTATTGCATATCTGTCATTTATCCTCGTATACTGAAATTACGATTAATTTTTGTGGGTAAAAAAAGCCAAATGTACAGGTTTGGGGTTGCTTTTGCTGTGGATCGGATCATCATGATAGAAAAGGGTAAGGACTAACCCATCATTGATGTGTGGGCTACACAGTGTGCCCGACAGCCACCAAATTCACTTATTCTCGAAAAAGACGCTAGAGTAAGAAGATGGTGGGTCCTGTTGGCAAGACCCCGCGGCACAAGCCCACGGCCAGGGAACGACAGCTGTGCCTGGACCTTCGGCACCAAGATCGACGTGTACGTCGCGAGGAAGCAAAGGAGGAAGCGGCACCAAAGAAGACCGGTGCGCCTGTGAAGAAGAAGGCAGCGAAGGAGACGGCTGCAAAGACCGCGCGTGCGTCAGTTAAAATCAGGAGGGGGTGGCCGCATCAAAGGAGGCGGATGCGGAAGCGGGTGCACGGAGGCGAAGGAGACGGACACCGGGCAGACGGAGCCGGTAATTTCTACATCTGACGGCGAAGAAGGGGATAGTGTATTGGCAGACTTGGTGAGAGTGGTCGGGTCTACGGAGGGGCTCACGACGCCAACTCGTATTCCTGACAGGGCTGCCGCCACTGCGCTACCTGCTGTGGTTTCATCTCGCTCTGCAACGCGCGAACGACCTGCAGTACAAATTTTCGGGAAGCTTCGGCGTGGCATTCTCCAAGACGACAGCTCAGAAGAGGTAATTATTATGTTTACCAGATTCAACATAAGCACAGTTGTAGTGTTATTTGTTCAACATACTAATCAACATAATTATTTTTGGTAGCACATGAAGGAATCATCTAGCGACGAAGACGGAAGAAACGCAGCACATGTTGCACCTGTGGCCCCAGCGTGTGTTGTCGATGGAGATCCGAATATGATGATGGCAGGAGCTGAAGAATGCACGGAACTGAATTCAGATGAAGACTCTGATCTTCAAGAGGAGTCGGAGGAGGATGATGACGCCAGCTATGACGACGATAGCGTAGATGATTGCGATGGTGATTGGGATCTCGGTAATATAACGGATGAAGATTCCGATGGCGTTCCTGAAGAGCTACCGGAATCGATTTGGTCTAGTGTAGCCAGAAACAAGGGCGCAGTGTCGGCGATGAGAAGCTCTGGTTGGGAGTACGGTATGTTATGTTGCTTGTATTCTACTTAAAAATATTGATTTGGATTAATTGTCAACTTATCTACAACATACTCTGATGTACGACTGTTTGTAGATACTGCCAAATTTGGACCAGACCCAGAATACAAGGATCTCTACAGAGACGCTTATGGGCCAAGTGACAGCGTTATGAAAGTTGGCGACGACCCGCTAGCCTTGATGTTTTAGTTCATGCCGCCAAAGTTGTGGAGGCAAACTGCTGTGGAAAGCAACCGCTAACATGCTCAAACGATACCACGGCATGCGCGGACGATTCGATCGCAGCGTCAGCAAGGTGGCGAAGCTGAGGAAATCCGTGAAATTCGTCGACGACTTGCCGGTGTTTCGGATTTTGAGCCCTGAGAGATTCTCAGAGTTATGGCCTTGTTGGTGGCACGGATGCTAGTACCTATTCGGAAGGGAATAGTAGCACATTGGTCAACAAAAAGAGTGGGTGCTCCTCCTGCTAATCGCTTTGGACTCTACATGTCGAAGAATCACTTCTTTCACATTATGGGCTACATACATCTGTCCAACAACAATTCTCCCCAAGCCAAGGTGGACCGAGCGTGGAAAATTAGACCCGTTGTTGATGCGCTTCGACGCACGTTTGCTCGCGGCTACACATCGCCTCCCGTCATTAGTTTTGACGAGGCAACGCTGCCTTCTCGCTCACTCTATAATCCAGCTCTCCAGTACAACAAGGACAAGCCCAAAAGTGGGGCACCAATATATTCGTCGCAGCTTGTGCCAAGACGGCTTACTGCATGAGATTTGTATTCAGCAGCAAGCTCAGGCTTGCTGCTTTGTTCTGGTCTAAATCCTTATGTTGGATGTGGGTAACATAAGTATCTTATTGGTTTTTATTTTGCTAACTTATGCTATTATTTTAATTTTTGCAGTATTGAGATTTATTGCGGCGATAAAACACACCTCCAAACACCAGTTCCGACCGATAACAACAGCGGTGAAGCCGCCGTGCTCAGAAACATGATCGCACGTGTTACCTTCGTCGAAGTCGCCGTGGTATTTGGTGATCACAGACTGCTTTTATACCTCTGTGAGGCTCGCATTGGAGATCTATCACCTCCGGCTATACCTCACCGGCACCATTCAGACGGATCGATCAGGTTACGCCCGTGGGGTGATTACAAAGAGAAAAAACAGTGAACAAGCGCAAAGTGTTGATCCCACCTCAGGGCACCACATTGCTTGCCCAAAGTAAGCAATTTGCAATGCTGACAGCTGCAATGTGGATGGATCACAATCCGGTCTACATGCTGTCTACTGGGGGCAGCAGAGCGCCAGACACAGTCAGTGAGTATGCGTCTTTTTATTTTTTTTGCATTGTATGAGCTAACCAACTACTGATATGTCATAACTGTGAGGCGTGTACATGGGGAGATGCGTGCAGTACCTGCACCAGGTTTTATTCGGGACTACCATCGATGGGTGGAGGGCGTCGACGCTCACGACCAGCTGCGAATGCAGCGATACAGCGTGCAGCTCGCGTACAAGAGCCGCAAGTACTATAGAAC